AATAATAATAATAATAATAATAATATAAACAAAATAGCTACATTTGGAATAACATATATAGTTATACAGCAGTTGTTTTTTTTTCTTCAAAGTCAATTACCGAACAAAGCCTACAAATTCGACACAAATTATACGTGATGACTTATCGCATTGGCAGACTTTGTTCGGTTATTGAATTATACTAACCGCGCCTAAACGTCAAAAACAACTATTGTTATCAACCCTTTTGTGTGAGGTGGTCCGCGTATCATCGATATCAAGCAACAATAACAGCAATCTATAGAGTACGTGAATGACTTTGAAAGTTTGAGAAAGTGTAATTTAACTGTGTGTGAAACATATAGACATTATATATTTGGCCAATCCTTCATACAAATGCTACAGACCTAACACATACACAACCAAATACAGAACTAAACTTATAGCTAAATATTCTGAAGTCTTTTTATTTTTATTTGGAATCATGCACATGTAGTATATACAAATCCCTTATTTTTGTTGCAAAGACTTTTTGCAAAGCCATAGCCCATAGGCATCCGTACCTTTCAAAGTTTCTACATGCAGGATTCTTGAATTCTTCTAAAATATATTCAGTAGTTTACAAGATTTAGGTCCCGTTTTCGTCGCTTACCTACTGTTCCTACGTTCTTTGTTTTTAGACTATGTTAAGATGTTTGGGCAGAAGTTGACTGAATCGTAAGTTATCTGTCGTATTTAAAAATTTTTCGTGTAATGTGACATTTAATTAAAAACTCTATATGCATGTATGGGTAATTCATGATTATATATATATATATATATATATATATATATATATATATATATATAATCTTCAACAACAACTTGATTCTTTGTAGAGTTGCAAAGGGATTTGAAAATTTGCGTGACACCATAAAAAACAAATTGAAAGTTGCTACGGATTTTGCCAAATTGACTGTGAACGAATTAAAAGAAATTCCGCAAGATGTCCTTGGTTCTTTACAGGTACGACAATGTTGTATAGGTCTTCCAACATTCCTTCTTTTCGGTATATTTTAAAGACTTTTTTCAAATTTCCCATTCGCACGAAAAAGATCCAAATTCTGTATTATTGTAACCAGAAATTTTTTGTATAACCATGTATTTTTTGAATTTTTTTCTGTGTTGGTGTTGTGTACTCAGGTGAATAATATGTTTGCGATGTTACTCTGAGTGCATATCCACACCGGGCGAGCTTGAAAAATATGCCCGGCCACAGTGGGATTCGAACCTACGACCTTTGGAATACTAGCCCAATGCTCTTCCAACTGAGCTACGCGGTCAGGACGGTTCGAGTAAGTGATATTTCGGAACAGTATCTAGTTCCTTCAATACCAATTGAAGGAACTAGATACTGTTCCGAAATATCACTTACTCGATTCAACCGTCCTGACCGCGTAGCTCAGTTGGAAGAGCATTGGGCTAGTATTCCAAAGGTCGTAGGTTCGAATCCCACTGTGGCCGGGCATATTTTTCAAGCTCGCCCGGTGTATCCACTCAGAGTAACATCGCAAACACATGTATTTTTTGTTCTGCAGGAAGGTTTGGAGTATATGATACCACAGCAGCTCTCTGGTATTGCTGAGAGACTCAAGTACTTTACCAAGCAAAATCTTCATAATGTTCTATCACGAATTCCAACGACAACATTTGAGGATTCCCTGGTTGCCTTAAATGTGAGACTTACCATTTTTATATGTTGAAATTGTGATTTTTGTGAATTGGGATTATCTGGTACTGAAATTAATACAACCGTCATGCCGAACCCTTCGTTTTCTCTATTGTTTACCAGTCAGTCGCAGTCTAAGTTTAACTATATAGCTACGTAAACTAAAGTTGTTTCTATCATAGCGATTGAGGCACGCCGGTTGTTGATAATGTTTGTTCTCATCGTGCCGATGAGTAAGACTACGAATTTCACAATTTACATATATATATACAGGGTGTCCCAAAACAAATTTCCCCTATCATATTTTGTGGTACTACATCGTTACCTGTAATCGAATATTCAAATTTTTTCATTTTTTTATCAATGAACATATTACGTTAATCGTTGCATTTTTTTCGCACAAAAATATTTAACCGTTCGCCTTCTAGAGTTACTTAAGGTGGCGACACCAATATTGACACTTGTCCAAATTGTGAATATTAGGTTTAAACATATTACGGAACGTAATAAAATATTTTAATGGTAAATGGCTACATATCTTTTCTAAAACTTGTAATTAGTTGTAGCCAAAATCGCGAATTAATTTTCTGTAAAAATAATGAAGCAATCCCCAGGAAAAGGGAAAGACTAGTGCTGAAATCCCAACATTGAACGAAAAACAGCAAATTTATGGCATTTTCCCAACCTTCGCTTTGCCTTTGTCCATTTGCCAGGGATTTTTCATATTTTTTTTATTAATTTCTACAAGAAAAAGTTTAATAATAGAGATAAAAAAATTTGTTTTTGAGCAGAAAGGTGGGTAGAAACTTTAGAAACCCTTGCATTATTTTTAACCTAATTTCTGTAATTTGGACGGGTTGCAAAACTGGTGTCGCCACCTTAAGTATCTCTAGAAGCCGAACGGTTTAGTCTTTTGGTGAGATAAATACTACGATTAATATACGAAACACTCTGTAGCGATGACAGTTCACACAGTTTCACGAAACACTGTGTAGCGATGAAATAAAATTTTAAGATTGAAATTTGTTGTTTTTGATTTTGTATTTGCTCTACTGATTTATTAGTGTTGAGCACTCTAGTTCACTACGCACAATATTATATATTATATTGTTTACTCGGAAATATGATAAGGAGAAAATGTTCTCGAGTGAGTATTTCATAATTTCCAGACCGTGCGCAAGCGGAAAACGTTGCCGCCAATCCCAGCTGTGGTCTGGAAATTATGAAATACATAATATATATACACACTGCATGGTTCTATACTTTATTTTGTATTTTTAGCTGCAAGTTGATTTTGATCATGATCAACTTCGTGAATTTGCCCTGGCGGGATTACGTACGTTTGGAAAAGATGTCGGAAACTGGACCAAAGATGCCTTGAATAAAATGGAGAGATTCCTGATGGGATTAGAAAATTCAGAAATTGTAGAAATCGCTGGCGATGCCCTTAAGTTAAGGTAAGATGTTTTCCACAAGATCTTTTCCAGAATATCTAACAAGTTTGTGCTGCGATTGCAGTGCCAAACTGAAAGCTTGCATGTATGCAGAATATCTAAAAATTTGGCGTTGCAATTGCAGTGCCAAACTCAAAGCTTGCATGCAAAATATCTAAAAATTTGGTGTTGCAATTGCAGTGCCAAACTCAAAGCTTGCATGCAGAATATCTAACAATTTGGCTCTGCAATTGCAGTGCCAAACTCAAAGCTTGCATGCAGAATATCTAACAATTTGGCTCTGCAATTGCAGTGCCAAACTCAAAGTTTACATGCAGAATATCTAACAATTTGGCGCTGCAATTGCAGTGCCAAGCTCAAAGCTTTCATGGAGAATTTGTAACAATTTGGCGTTGCAATTGCAGTGCCAAAATCGAAACATTCATAATTTGCAAAAAGGAATAATATATCTGGATTTTAGTAACGTTTTTTCCTTATGTTGCCACATTGTAAGTATCGCGACGAACTTGTCTTATCCAGATTGGATAAATATGCGTTAATCATTTAATTCCAGCAATAACATTATCCTTGAGATCATGTTCATTCAATTTTCTCAAAATTTCATATTATCTGTCCAGGGTTTCATTCTTCGTGTTATCGCCATTTGTTGCTTAAATTAACAGATAAATTGCTTGCTAATACCCTACTATATTTTAATTTTTATCAACATTTTAGTGAAATTTCGTGCTGAAAATGCAGTTTTATTGAATATTTGTTCGAAAATTGACTAAATGGAATATTTCACTTAACTTTAGAACGTGTTCGATTTAAAATCGAAGCGTTTTCCCCTATACTCTGGAGGGATGACATCATCGCCCAAGAATTGGTATAGATAATCACACGGGAGGGAGTGCAACTAATGATTAACACTACGAGTGAATTTTGAAAAATGTTCCAAAATCGCACTGGCCGCCGAGGCGAGGAGTGTTAATCATTAGTTGCACGTCTTGCCCATGTGATTATGTATTTCTTATATACATGACGAACTATTCCCCGGTATTGTTGTTACGTGAATGCAGAGAACGCATGGATGTATATTTTGGAAGATACTGATTGAAGTACTAAACAAGATCTGGTTTGATATTTTTTGTGTGTGTGTTTTGATGTTATGTACTCAGGTGAATATAATGTATTTGATGTTACGCTGCAGAGTGTATATCCACACTGGGGAGGATGAAAAGTTGACCTGACCACGGTGGGAATCGAACCCGCGACCTTTATGGGATACTTGTCCAATGCTCTGCCAACTGAGCTATACGAGGCCAAGTCTGTTCGAGTGTGTGGTATTTCGGAACTAAGTCTAGTACCTTCGATACCAATGTGTTCTATGATCATGATATTTTTTTGTGTGTTTGAACTATAGGCTATACCAGAAATAACTATAAAAGTTTTCCTGAACAATAAATTGTTTAAGATTTATGTGAAGTTGAAGTATTTAACATTCGAAATGTCCAAAAGGAAGCAGCGGTATAAAACGAATAGAAAGTTCTTGATTCGTCGACAAACAAGTGTCCAAGTTCAAAATATTTGAAGTTCAGCAAGAGAGTTTTAGGACAGTGCTTTTTTGTGTTCATTTTCTGCTTTTAAGTTAGTGCATGAAGTGTAGACTCGTTTGTATTTACAGAAGCATTTTGTTTTTTCAAATCGTTAATTGCAAAAATTGCACCCCTCTTAACCAATCAGATTGCAGTAATTTTTTCATGTACGTAATAAAGAGGAGAAACGCTTGTAGTCTGCCCAAAGCGGCTTTTCAGAGCTAATTACATAAAAAATTGTTGTCGACTATATGTTACTGAATTATGAAGCGGAGTGATATCATTCTATTGTCAACGACAAACTGTTAAAATTATATGGACCATGAACTAGATGTTATGTTCTGTGGAGATATCCTAAATACACTGATGTATGCATGCATGTGTTGGTCTATTTATAAGTAATATCACAATTGCATGTATCACTAAATTTTTTTTAGTAAAATTTCTGCATAACTTTCCTGAATTTTAGCAACAATCTTATATAGGCTACAGCTAGCTTAAGCCAAATATAGTCATGATGAGCATATACCATGGAACTTTTTTTCCAAATCCTTACAATGGAAACAGTATTGATCTTCGAGCTGCATAGAAATAGTAGGGCCTATAGGAAATCCAATCTTCATACCAAATTGCAATTTTCATATTATGGATATAGTTATATGGACATAGCTATACTATGGATTTAGTAATGCAATTGTAAATTCCATAATAAAATTATGTATTTCGTTATTTTTTTCAGTGATATATAGAATGATGTTTGAAATTCTAAACCTGTTTACGTGTGCATGCACTTGCATCAGTGTTGGAGATTCAAACTTTCTAGATACAGCTTGCTCAGCTGAAATATTTTGTGTTGTTGAAAGGGATCATCTTAGGCCTATACATATGGTTTATTGATAACGTACTGTTTGTGATTTCATTCCATGTTTTTATTACTTGATTAGCAAAAATATTCTCTGTAATAACGTTCCGTTCAACGCCGACCAAAAGGACTCGTTCCTTGTTCCAGCGAAGAAAGCATTTGGAGAAATTTCCGGTTGGGACGAGACCACAATCAAGACAATTTGCTCAGTTATCGAGATTATTCCACCTACTCAGATTTTAAAACTTTCCGCTGAAGCGGTAAGATGACTTGTTGATAATTATGCGCCAATTTATTATTGTTTTAAGGATGAATTTTAGTGAAATATTTAATAATACCTTGAGCTCGAGTATGTGAGCTGATGAGGTGCGTGGCACGGTTCGGCTATTAGAAGTATACAACGAGATCGAATGGTATGCTAACAGGCATTTACCGCAGCAATAATATACTTTTCTCTGTTGTGTGTATATAGTATTTTGACAGTTTGTTTAGCTACAATCCTTGCTGGCCCAAACATTTTAAATGTGTTTGTTAATATGTTTTAAACCTTAAAGTTAAATAAATGGTTTAAGAACATTATTACTGATAGAAAGCTTCAGATATTTATGTAGATGTTGAGATTTACCGAGCACATATGTAGTCTGGTAACCATCTTGTAATACGAAAGTAGTCAACAGAGCATGACAGTTACTGTTGTCAATAAAGACCGGAAGAAGCGAGAAATCACGAAACTAGTCAGTAAAGAGAGCGAAAGTTGTCACTATAGAGAACGAAGATAGTGAAAATAGCAAGAACGTAGTGAACAGTGCATAACATATGGTCAAAAAAGCACAATAGAGCACAAAAATAGACAATGTTACAGTGTTCCAATGACTTAACTATATTTATAGTGATCTCTTTTATGAAAATCTCGACACCTTTCTAATGTACCATTTTATATCATGTATCATCTTCAAGGTTGGCAAGACTGTAAAGGTTCTCTCCAAGAACAAGTATTTTGTGCCACAAACACGAGCTCTCGTTCGCAGGGTGAAAAAGGCCTGGGGCGAAGTAGACTCTTGGGATGACGTGAAACTGAAAGATCTAGGCAAGCTGTTAGAAGGATTTGACAAGAAGGACATTTCTATGTTGATTGACGATACAGTCAAGGTAAGCACCCTGTTTTCTACATCAGGCAATGTTACACAGATATCCGCTTGTTGTACCTCCGCAATTAAACTATGAAGTTGAAAGATTTTTATAGATGGAAATTTTGGAGCTAAAGATTATATGCAATTTCAGACCTAACCAGGAGCAGCTGAAAAAAACGCATAGATATATATATATATATATATATATATATATATATATATATATATATATATATATATATATATATATATATATATATATATATATATATATATTGTGGCAGCTTGTGGAATATGTGATTTGGTGTGGACGCGTATCAAGCCTATGCTCAGAAAATGTCTGAGCCCTAACGGGAATTGAACCACCGTAACCTTCTGATAACCGTAACCTTCTGATAACGTCATATATATATATATATATATATATATATATATATATATATAT